CCCAGTTACCACCCCACCATCCTTCATAGCTCATTAGCCTTTCTTTTTTTTTAAACCAGACAAGGATTTCTGTTGTCCCTGAACACTAATAGAAGTCGCTCCACAGAACTCTCTGCTCCAGTTATTAAAAGGAATTAGATGGACTGTGTCTAAGATGCAAATGAAGATCACTAGCTACATCTTGATTATCAAATGCTAACCTAACAGTGCAGAATTAATCCCATTCTGAGCTTCCATCCATAAATTGAAACATCATTTTGAAAAGCAGAATAAATCGGCAGACAGAACATTATGTTGGTTATGAACCCATATGGTTAATTTTAAACAAATGGCTTTCAATATATATTTTCAGTTTCAATGTACGCATGACTTAAATGAAACATTTTTATTAAACTTTTTATCCCACTTCTGAGTCTGAAAAAATGGCTTTCAGTAAATCTTTCTGTGAACCACTTCACTCCAAGGTATTTTTAAATGGCAGACAAAACAGAATGGGGATTTCTCTAAAGTAATATTAAAATAATGCCATTTATTAGGTTAATTTAATTAGGAGAAAAACAAATAAGAAAATCATTGGCACCTACTGAAAATGTCAGATTAAATACCATAAAAGCTAAGAGAAGAAACAAAACAGGTTGCTTTTCAAAGAAAACTTAATTCCTTGATTAAACACAATCTTTTTCTATAGAAAGTTCCACTTAGCATAAAAACTGTGTTAAGCTGCAGCTCTGGATACCCACATATTTAACAGAAGCAAAAGCCTTATCTGCATTAGCGTTTTAAATATCTGTGTAGTCACAATCTTGCAACTGCTCTAGTAAAAAGCACAAGAGCCTTGGTTTAAGGCACCGCTGTAGATTAAACTCTGATGTCACACATTACAGTGGGGGCTGAAAACTTTAAAAAAAGATTAGGCTAGAATAAGGTTTTAAAAAAAATAATCCCATACCAAACCTTCTTTTGCAATTTTAAGCCACTAATTGCTAACTAATTATTGTGAGGCGTCACACAATGAGGAGGAAAGCTAACAATCTGTTCTTGTTGATTGGGATTTGCAGGTTCAGGAGGAGTGTCTTTTCAGGTATGGTCAAAATCAGGTACAAATCTCTGAGGGAGGTACAGTTTAGCTAAAGAAAAGAAATACCAATGTCAAACTGCTTAATCAGGCCTCTTGTTTTGAATACTGGTGTTGGAGCCAAAACATTGTCTGTATGTCATTTCTAAATTCTACCCACTTGATTTCTTTGTTTTGTGGAGAAACAAGAAGTTGAAAAACAGGAAAGTTCACTTTGGGTACAAGGCTTATTTTCCACTTAAGCCTACAGGTCACAAATGAAGGGTTAAGTGAAACCAGGCTTTGTTTTTCTCAATCTCTAAAATATATTAAACCACATTAAAATAGCTTATAATTTAAAGGAAAATTCCTTTAAAGCCTCTGAATATAAATGCTTTCATGGAGAATGGAAATGTATGTTAAGACCACAGTATTCTAGTGCCAGTACTGAGACGTATTTCCACCTGCTCCAAGATACTAAAGAGGGGCTCCAACTTTTTCTAAATTGAAAAACTTAATCAGTTGACATCTGGCTCAAAACATAAGTTTTGAGGTGTTAGAAGCCCTAGTGCCAATTGAAGTAACTGATAACTTGATATTTGATCAACAGATCTCTCTCTGTACATATTAAAAAAAATTCCAAAAGCAAATGGAAATGTTTTGTTTTGTTTCTTTTTCTTCTTTTTATGGAAGTACAAATCATATTCCTATACTAGTTTCATACATTTCCATGAAATTCATAAAATTCAAATCACCCTTAAATAAAAACATAGCAGTTTATACCATGACTGTGCAAACTGAAAAACAAGGGTATTATTTTATTCCACCAAAGGTGAAGGACAAAAGCAGGGAGAAAGCAGAGCACAATAGCAGCAAAAGGAGAGCAGGTGATAAAAACAGATGAGAAAGTAAGAATACACAGAAAAGGGTGGCACAAGCAAGAAGTTATGAGGAATGAGGTAGAGAATAAGGAAAAGAAAATCAATCCCTTCAGCAGCAGGGCTGCTCGTCATTCATAGTCATTCACCATGAAACTCACTCAGGCATTATGAAAAGAGCTGAATGCCAAGTTGCCAAATCCCCTACTATTTAATTAGGATATTTTTGTTTGTTTGAAGATCCAGCTTTTGTATTTTAATGATTATGTGAGCAGCTTAGATTTAATTTTTTAAAAGGGCATTTCTAGCCCTTGCCACAGCGCAGAAACATATGAGAACACGATTAGATCACTCAAAAAGCAGAATTCAGGTGAAAAGAACAAAACTTTCCTGCAGCAATTTTTTATTTTTTTCAGATTGACTTATGATCTGTATTTCTAAGTTTGAAGGCCAAAAATCATTACTCTTTAAAAAAATGTGCACCTCCCATTGCAGCAAATAAACCCTACAATTCTGATATGACAGATATATGTTTTAGCATGTTTGCTTTGAACATTTGACACTATCTTTTTCCAATGTCTACGGAAATTGCTAACTGTTGTCTGAAGCTGTCAATAAGCCAAGAGAAACTGTGATATGAATGAAACATTAAGAAAACAAAGCAAGAATGGCACATTTTCATGACTGCATCTGAGCACCATGGACATGCACGTTGCTACCCCTCACCAGCAAGGGATATTTATCCACAGCATAAGCACTAATGCTGTCATCCCTCTTTACATCAATGGTTGGTTGTCATTTAGCAATGCAGAAGTATTCTGCCACATGCCACGCAACCAGAGCCAGCCGGGCGAAAGCTACATCTCAAGTAAACAGTGCCAACAGTGATGGGGCTGCAATCAGGAGTCACCCAGCTCCTTGCAGCATATGTATTTATATCTCAGCAGCTAAATACTAGCCACTTTCCTCAGCCTCAAGCATTCAGCAAGAAAGGTGTTTATGTTCAGGCCCCAGTTAACGAAACCACTATAGGGAACTAGTAACAAATGGAAAAAATATGCTTGCACAAGTACTTCTACGGCAATGACTAATTAGGCTTTTCCAGCCCTGCTCTGCTGCCCAAAAGCAAGTGGTGAGATTCTGTTTGCACTGAGTTTTTTTGTTAGCACTGGGATTTGTTCTCCTCATTCTGAGCTGAACTAAACTGTCACAGATTTGGTGATTTTGGGGTGCCATGCAAAAGCTGGTTTTGGAGGGAGCTCGTCATACCTTCACAAAGGCTGAGAAATGGAAAACAACTTTTTGTAAATGTTTAATACTCTATAATGCTACAGTCTGTATGTAGCCATACAATAATTGTTGAAACATTTAAAGTTCTAGTGTCTTTTTACTACCTAAATAGAAACTATTAACACATAGGAAACCAAGGCTACTGAATTAACTTGCTTTTCTGACACATAATGAAAAAAACTAATTATATTCCTCAAACAGGTAAGCTGCTATTAGAGCAAACGCTTCTGAAAATACAATGCACCTGAACAAGCAAGGAAGGTTGCAAAGAAGTACTGCCTTAGATTTTTATAATGCAAAAAGGTATTAGGAGGAATTCAGAACGTGACCCAGGCACGGACTGAATCGGTAGTAGCTTTGCCCTTCACTCAACTGGGTGTAGGGTAAAAGCTTTTAGTGATAAATATAAGCTTTACAAGAAGACGGAGTGATTACATGAAGCCAGACAAAACTATCTGCTTGTTCATTATATGAAGACTTTTTTAAGGTTACCAAAAAAATCACATTCTAGTTATACCTCACATGAAGTGAACATGAAATGGCACAACAGACTTAAGCACAAGCTGAGACATCAGCTTTCAAATACAATCCTGGATAAACAAAGTTTGATCGCACATGGGCATTCCATTCATAAACTGTTCTTATTCACCTAAGACCACATTTCTCTTCTGAGAATTACCAAGGAAACCCACAGTCTGTAGACATATTCACCAGTTCAGTTATGATTTATAGACTGTGCATAATAGAAAGATTTGACTCATAAGCAGACTTTCAAAAACATCAGTCAATATGTAGATTAAAAAAAAAGTTAAGGTAAAAAATTTCAGAGTAATCTGTCTGTGTCCAAAAGTATTCTTCCTCTTGCCTTCTCAATACACAGCACAGTCCACTGCCAATCGCTCAGAACTAAAATGTTATTTTAGCAATCACTCCTGGAAGTTCTTTGCTCTCTAAGGGGAGCTAAACCTTTGCAGACTTTGATGATATCAACAGGTTTCAGACACTCTGTACCTACAAACCAAACCTCAAGCAGTCAAAGTATTACTCCCAACGCTATTTAATTATTTACTGAATATAAGAGCTGAGTAAGTGCAAAGAATGGACATGTGAAACAGCTTTACTCCTTGATTTTTTATGTCTTGAAACACCAGTACCATTTTGCCTCTGGAAAAATCAACTAATGTTCTGGTCTTCCTTGTGTATCAACCATAAACCAGCAAATACTACTGAAAATTTCCATCAGTTTCTTGACACTTACCCTTCCATATCTGTTGGCATAGGACCCTGTAAGCAAGGAATGGAAAATGATGATTGTCTCATCCAAATCCCAAATGAATACTCTCTGTAAAAAGAGAATCAAATCAATGTGTTCCTCTGTGAAGCTGATACTTGATATGGAAAGTTAAAATTTGAATCAGTAAGTGCACAAATGAGAAAATTGTATTGAAATGGTTATATATTAAAACCATAGTTTCCTTGCCATTTATTTTCAGAACTAACAAGTTTTTTCCAGAATAGGGTAATACAATCTGTTAGTTTTTTACTACAATTGCTATTATATCAAATTATTCTATTGGAATAAAATTATAGTTATTGTCAAATACACACAGAAAACGAGATGTATGCTGTATTATTTTAAAGCCAGATGTGAGATAGAAACTGAAATAAATGAAGAGAAGCCTCTGAAAATTAAATCTTCTCGGTTTGAATTCTGTATTTCTGCAAGTCTTACAAAACAAAGTTCATATAACTGCTCTTGAAAATGACCTCTAAAAATAAAATAAAGCAAACTGCTGCTAAGCACTTAAAAACCCTTAATCTATGTTAATTTTTAATGGATTTTAGGCACCTGAAGAATGAAAACTATGAACTCAGATGTTGCATGTGTAAGAATTTATGGCATCAGTAAATAATTCTTTCGCTTACAGCCAATGGAAAATATGTGTTTTATATTTGTCCTCTGACCACACACAAAATGATATTTTAATGAAAAATAAAGTGTTCAAATACAAGTATTTTAAATCCTGGTGAGATTGGATTTCCCGTGATGACAAATGGGCTAAGCTTTTGGAAAGGAAAAGTAATGCAGTGTGGACACTCATAGCTGTGGTGTGTCACTGGAGATGTGTTCTCAACACAAAGCATGGGCCACTGAGGGGAATGTGAACATAGCAAAAGAGAACAAAAACCACTATTGTGCTAGAAGTGTCTCCTGTCCAAACGCAAACTTTTCGTTGACTTGGGAAAAGCTTGCTTTTTTTTTTATAATCCAAAGGAGAAAGAAACCCTCAATATTTTTCAGAGAAAATAGGTGCTCTTCATGAAGAAGTTTCTTTACAAGAAAAATTCTATCTTCTACAAAAATACTATTAGGAAAAAAAAAGGGAGCTCCACTGCCACTTCATTTTTGATGTGTAAATAATACTTCTCTCTGCAAAATAATGATAAAATTAGAGTCTGTACCAGGTCAAAGACATCTAATATAATGTACCTCTAGATCAGAGTCAGGTGGTGGTGAAGGATTATTGTTTCTTCTGCCACGTCCACGTGATTTCCCATCTGAACTACGACGCAATCTATCTGAATCTGAATCTTTAATGGGTGTTGATGGACTGTGGATTGTACTGTATTCTGCTGTAGTAAAGAAATGACATTTTCACCTTTCAGTTTAAACTTCAAAATGTTCAACTTACTTGCTTTTTACATATAACACTAAAACCAGGATGTTCGCTAAAGAGTCCTAACTAAAATAATTAAATCTACAATGATAAGTGGCAATACTGATACATAAATTAACTAAATCGAGTTCAATTTATATGTAAAAACAGAGAGATAAATTATTTCAGTAAACCAATAAAAAAGGAGTAAGTAAAAAAAAAAATCTTCATTCCTTCAAACCATAGAGAAGATCATATCACTTCACAGACAAGATTAAACTCTAAATGAACAATTTTAAGGGGTACCAGCTTTTTTTTTAAACACTGATTTAATTCTAAGTTTTCAAACATGCTTTAAGATAACCATTATGCTGACTGGTAAGAAAAAAAACATCCAGGTATGAAAAAAAATAACATATAGAAATTGAAAACTTTTCCAAATTGCCTGGTTGCAGACACTTTACTTTTAGATCGCTACATTTGAGCCAGATGAATAGAATTCTTTCTAAATATGGAATAAAATAGAGTCCTTATTTTCCCAGGGTAAGTTCAATTAATAAGTTTTAAATATGCATCAACTATGAAGATGAGATTTACAGTATTCTTCAGAGGCCTACTCAACACTGAACTTTTCCAATGAGTACCTTCAAGACATGATAGAATTCTTCATAAACAGTATTGTATGCTAATTATTATGCTTCAGCAAAATTTATTTACAAAAATATTTACTGTTGTTGAACAGGTGAAAAAGAACGATGATTTACATATGTAAGAACAACCAAGTTTTCCTGAAAACATGCTAGGTGGAAGATGTTTTGGTATTCTTAACATCCATAGACTCAGTAACAGTAAAGTGCTTGAACATTAACAAAGCAGACACTCAATCCTTCCTATCTCATTTAACTAGAAGTACCATACTCCTCAGAAATGCAACAAGACATTTTAAAATCTGTTTTCAAGACTTTCTTTCACAGTCTTAAGTTCACAAAGAAAAGACTTTTATTTTGGCAGTTATTGGGTTTTTTCCTAAAAAAACCTATTTTTGTGAAGGCAGCTGGAATTTTCAGCATACAATATATTTATCAATTTCACGTCTCAGTTAACATTAACTACTCTTTAGAGTTCAGTAGCTGTGAATATTTGCATCAATATTTATTTACTTTTTAATCCACCTAGACCATGGCATTCCAGTTTGAACAGACAGGTATACTTCTCACACAAGTGATTCTTTCTCCTAAAAAAACATCCTGTTGAGGTCAAAGGTTAGATTAAGGAGGAGACTCTGGACATCTGTGTAACACCACATATTCACAATTACTCAAACTAATAACCGTTGCTTGTGCTGAATGAATGGAAAAGGTCTTGAAGTTCTCATGTTTAGCCTTTGAATCTACACATAATGGAAATTTGTATATATTATATATTTCACATTACTTTTACCTAAGTATCTCAGGCTAAAAGCAGAATAATAAGTTAAGATGTAACTCAAGGTAAAAGAAAGAATCCTCAAAAAAGACTCAACCTATACCTAAAAGAGTGATTCTGTGTATGTGCCAAACAACAAAAATCACCCAGCCACGTCAGTCTACATAACTAAAGACAGAGGTTTAAATGTCGAAGATCATGTACATTCCAATATACATTTTTTCCTATGACAATTACACTTCAGAATGTTTATCTGAACAAATACTTTGAATGCTGATTGCTCTTTCATCTACTGTACTAAAACGTAAATAAAAAATCATAACTCAACTAATACAAATTTTCCCAACCTTTTAAACTTAAATGAGTTTATCCCCTATACATTTTTTTATTATTAAAACCCTTAATAAAAAAGAAAAAGAAAAGAAAGAAAACAATGTACAAAAGCTTTGAAATAAATTACAACCCAGTAAAATACACAGACTAGAATTTCTCCAACAGGTATATCAGCCAATGGTGTTCTAAATATGTGCTCTAAAATTCAGATGTAATGAAAAATTGCATTTCCTATTGACTAATTGAAATTAGGGTTGCTCTTGGTCTCTGACAGTATTTTTAGGAGTTTGGCTTTAGATCCCAGTTTTTTAAATTCTTCTCACAGATGTGATATGCCTAAAATTTTCCGTATTAAACTTGGTGTAGTAATAATAATAATCAATAAAACAGGGAACAGATAGCATGGAAAAAGTATAAAAAAAACCTTCATGACAAATAAAACCAAGTAAACCTTAAAAGAGTGAGCACACAGAGCAGAGCGTGGTGAGGGTGGGGAAGAAAGACTGTAAGAGCCATCCAGCTTTCCATTTTTGCGAACACCTTCATTTAGGTACACTGCATTCAAAATGTCTAACACAGGGCTGCAAATTTGGGTGGAGGCTCATTTCCATCTTCCCTTCTCAGGTGCAAGTCATCTGTCTGAATGGGCCAGACCCTCACCTGACAGAGAGACTCTCAACCCTATATCGGGACCCCAAGGTTGGCTGGGCACACCATAGCCCACCCTACCTTGGGACACCAAGGTTGGCTGGGCACACCATAGCCCACTCTTCTGGGGGCCACTGTAGCTGCATCATTCCCGAGAGAGATTTGTCTGTCTTGCTCTTATGGATCTCTCCAGGCAAGCTACTCTGCTGCTTCAACAGCCATACCATTAGAAACAAAACATACAAGTTCAGCATTCATTACAGCAATTTAAGTTCCATCCATGAAAGTGGGGAAAAAATTCTTCCCTTCATGGTATTTGCATGCATTTGAAGACTCTTCTCCGATCCTCTTTGTTGTTAGGTTAACCCTTCCCTGACGATCTTCTTTTCTAGGCTTTGATTATTGCTCTCTATTTTCTCTCCAAACTGGACCCAGTAATGCAAAGCAAAGTTGAGCAAAGCTTTACTTCCCATGTCCCGCAGGCTACACTCCCCTGGACACCACTTGGTAGGGGACAATTTGCATTTTCTGCAATACTTTCAATAAATGTTAGTTTCAGGATCCCTAGATCATCTTCTGAGGAAGAAGTGGCACTTAACTGGGTGTTCCTCAAAGACCTGGCCAAATATTGCACATGAACTGAATACACAACATTGCTAATACCTGGAGCTTCTGAGCCTACTCAGGAGGCCAATCTGTTTTTTCGGTGTGACAGATGGCAGTAACCAATGGGGGGGAAACGTGACATAGTGTGTAAGAAACTTATTCCATGTATGTAAAGGGAAACCGTAGCATGTACTTTTTGGATTAAGGCTGCTCAACAGGACAGCCTCCATATGCACGGCTGGGTTACCAGCTCACTGTCCAATGGTCGCTCTCAGGTCCTCATAAGGAAACCTAATTAAAGAATCCACTATCCAGCTGAGCCCTGAGCCTTGACAAGCCCAAGCCCTGACAAATTCTGGAGCAAGAAAAACAACAGCGGCTGAGGGTACTCGGTGTGCCACTAATATCTGGAGTACTGAGAGCGGTCCGCAGGGAAAGGTAGAGCCTGGAAGGAGCTGCCAACATTCCCCATCCCACATTTGTGCAGTTCATCATTCCTGCCTAAATGTATACCTCACACCTGCTCCTATTCAGATCACATCTCCATTTTTTGAGTTCTCATCCTGTCTCCAAAGAACTCACAGCCCCTCTCAGCATGGTGTCATCTACATATTTAATAGGCAAACACATTCTGTTCCGTCATCTAAATGATTAATGAAAATGCTGGGCCCAAGGCAGACACTGAGGAATGCTGCTGTAGCCATCCTTCTATTTTAACAGCAAGCTCTCACTGACTTCTCTCTGGACGTGGTTTCCTAAACGGCTTTATATCATTCTGCTGTAGTTTCTGCTAGACTGCTTTAGCCTAGTTTGCTTATAAAATTGCTAAGCGAAAAGATTTAACTGTCAGGGCAGCAAAAGCCTTGCTGAAGTCAAGCTATATAGCCACAAAACATGTTATTGTTATACCCATTATTCTACATTCGTTGATAGAAGTATGTTGATTTGTTCAACCTCAGCTAACTTCATAGGAACAGACATACTTTAATATTAGCCAAGGGAAATGATTATGTTTCTAAAGCATTGAATTTAATTTTATCCTGCTCCTGAGCATCACAAACACAGGAAGGTGCAAGAGAAAACCCAGCCCTGCACAAAATCATGAGTAGAAAAGTGAGTGAGGCTCAGCTCTCCACTACCTGCCCCAATATAAAGCAAGATCACCAAAGGAAGCTGGCAGCAGCCGGGCTAAACACAAGAAGGAGGAGTTCAGATAAAAGAATCATAGAATAGTTTGGGTTGGAAGGGACCTTTAAAGATCATCTAGTCCAACCCCCCCCAGATAAGTAGGGACATCTTCAACTAGATCAGGTTGCTCAGAGCCCAACCCAACCAGACCTTGAATGTTTCCAGGGATGGGGCATCTACCACCTCTCTGGGCAACCTGTTCCAGTGTTTCACCACCCTCATTGTAAAAAATTTCTTCCTTGTACCTACTCTGAGAAATAAAAGCTAGATTTGTAGCACCTTTTCTCAAAAAAAGCCAGGCTCTCAAAAGCTTACAAGGGTTCAAGAGAAGCCTGGAGAAATCCTTGGAAAAGAGGATTTCAGGGGTGCTATGGCCCTGTCTGCACTAGCAGGTTGGGTCTGTGGGACCAAACAAGTGCTGGCGACCCCATGCTTCACTGCCTGTTTCTGGGAAGTCATTTCATTGTAGGTCCAGCCTGATCTGGTGTCCTGAGCATCCTCAATAGGGGCTGGAGGAATTAGGAGCTGTCCTGGAGGACACCTTCCAGGTTAGTTTTGTCTGGAAGGACTCTAGCTGGGTGCTCTAGGACCGCTCTGCTGAGTCAAAGCTCTTCGCTTCAAAACAGACTCCTGCTCCAAATTAAAATGTAGGCACACCCTAAACATACAAACAACAGCAGCTTTGGAAATCCCCTGAGATGAAAATATCTGGAAGCTGGAAAAGTGCTCAGGGCAAGTCTTACACAAGCTTAGCCTGTCCTTGCTGCTCCCGGG